ACCTATAAACAAATGGATTTAGTAGACATCTTTATAGTGTTCCACTCTACAACATCAGAATATACATTCTTCTCAGTGGTGTGTGTGACATTTTCCAAAACGGACAATACTAGCCCCTAAAACATGATTAAGTAAATGCAAAGGAATTGAAATTATCCCATACATGTTGTTATGGATTAAGAACTGATGGTCAACTTAACGCCAGCTGGATTACATCAGCATGGCACTGAGTGAAGATGCTCCACCTGAGGAAAGTTGCCAGCATAAATAGGTGGAGAATGAGAAGGAGGGTGTTAGGGTGTTAAGTTGTTAGTGCGTTAATGCGTTAATGCGTTATTGCGTTATTGTGTTGAGGCACTGTGGGTTCTCCTATGAGTTGCTGTTTGAGCCGTTGGTTCTCCTGGAGAAGCTTTGGTCCTCACATCTAGCATTGCTTCCTGGCTCTGGAGGGGAAGACATGTGCGCTTAGTCTCCAGGATGAACTCGTCGTGCTGGCTTCCTGGCATGTACCCAACTGTTCTTGTCGTAGTGGGAGCTCGGGGCCTCCGTGTGGCTGAGGATGGCTGTGGTACTTTTCAGGATAGCCCTGGTCTTGTGAGTGTGACTTCTCGGCTCCAGCGTGGAACCCTCATCCTACCAGCACAGCTCCTTCACCCTGCTGGCATGGACTTTCTGGCTTCCACTGCTGACCTTTGGGCCTTCCCAGCACAGATCCATAAAGAGACTGGCGTGAGTCCTTCTTGTGGGATCTGGACCTCCACTTTGACTCTTGGGAAGCATTGTCATGAGCTCTGGGTTTTCTTCTGGACTCACGTGGGACATTGCTGTGGGATTTAGGCCTTGACTAAATATTCTGTGTTTTTGGTGTTGCAGATAGATTTCCTGCATTTTTGTTAACTCCTGATAACCATTATAAAAATATAAACTCCATGTCCTGATTCTAGTTGTTCTCTGCATAACCCCTGACTACAACACATGTTCTCTGACCATAATGCAATGAAATTGGAAATCAATGGCAAAAGAAGCCAAAAAACTGCATGGAAATTAAACATGGAAATTAAATAACACCCTACTAAACAGCCAATAGGAAACAGATAAAATTAAAGAAGACATTAAACAGTATCTATAATTAAATGATAATATCAGTACAACATACTGAAACTTTAGGGAAAATAGTGAAAGCTTTCCTAAGAGGAAAATTTATAGTGGTGAATTCTCACATCTGGAAAACAGAATGAGCCCAAATAACCTAATGTTGAACCTCAGACTTCTGGAAAAAGAAGAACAAGTCAAGTCCAAAACTCATTCAAGGGAAGGAATTATAAAGATCAGAGCATAAATGAATGCAGTCATATCTAAGAAAACAATACAAAAAATAAATGAATTGGTTTTTGGAAAGATTAAATAAAATCAAGAAACCCTTAGCCAACCTTATTTAAAAACAGACAGGGTAAAATCACAACAGATCTTTCATATCATCAGTACCTATGTTGAGAACTTTTACCCTAATAAGAAGGAAAACTCAGAAGAAATAAACAGATTCCTAGATATGTATGAATTATCAGAGTTGAATTAAGAAGATATAAAAATTCTAAATAACCCAGTATCAGTTACTGAGATTGAAAATATAATTAAAAACTTAGTAACAAAGAAAAGCTCAGGTCCTGAAGGAGTCACTGCTGAATTCTACAAGAAATTTAGAGGAGATCTAATGCTATTAATCACCAAATAAAATCAAAAGGGAAGTAATACTTCCAAAGTCATTTCTGGAAGCAAGTATTACCATGATATCAAAACCAGAGAAGAACCCAACCAAAAAAGAGAACCACAGGCCAGTCTCCCTGATAAACATAGATGCAAAAATCATCAATAAGATAGAGGCAAACAGAATGCAACAAATCATCAAGAAGATCATACACCATGATCAAGTGGGATTTATCCCAGGGATGCAGAAATGGGTCAACATATGCAAATCAATATACATAATATACTATATCAACAGAGCCAAAGACAAAAATCATATGATTGTCTTGATAGATGCAGAAAAAGCATTTAAAGTTCAGCATTTACTCATGATAAAAAACCCTAAAGAAAATTGGAATAGATGCCTTTATCTCAATCTGATAAAAGCCATCTATGACAAATCAGCAGTCAATGTCATACTAAATGGTTAAAACTGAAAGCTTTCATTCTGAATTCAGGAACAAGGATGTCCACTGTAACCACTTCTATTCAATACAGTTCTAGAAACATTAGCCAGAACAATCAGACAACAGAAAGAAATACAAGAAATATAGATAGGAAAGGAAGACGTTCAATTATTATTATTTGCAGATGACATGATACTCTATGTAGAAGACCCAAAAAATTGTTCATCAAGAGATTTCTAGATTTAATAACCAGATTCAGTCTCCTAACTGGGTACAAAGTCAACACTCAAAAACCAATAGCATTCTTGTACTCAGTAACACACTTACTGAGAGAGAAATTAGCATCCAAAAAATTAAATTCTTGGTACTCAATCTTGGTAATAAAAAGGAAGTAAAAGATTTCTATGTTGAAAACTACAGTACTCTGAAGAGGATATCAAAAAGTAGAAAATCATCATTGCTCTTGGGTAGGAAGAACCAACACAGTAGAAATGACCATACTTCCAAAACTGTTATACAGATTTAATGTCATCCCAATAAAAATGCCCTTAGCATATCTCACAGAATTAGAGAAAACATTCCTAAAATTCATATGGAACCAGAAGAGACATAGAATAGCAAAAATAATTCTGGGCAACAAAGGCGAGGCATAGGGCATTACAATCCTGGACTTGAAATTATACTGTAGAGTTACTGTGATAAAAACAGTGTGGTCCTGGCAAACAAAACAAAACAAAACAAAACCCAAAATGAAACAAAGCAAAAACAGAACCAAGTATCAGTAGAATAGATTAGAAGATGTAGAAACAACTCCAAGCCTGATCTTTGACAAAGATGCCAAACACATTCACTGCAAGAAGGATAGCCTCTTTAATAATTGCGTTGGAAAAGCAGGCTTTTTATATGCTGAAGTCTAAAACTAGACCCGTGTCTATCACCATGCACTAAACTAAAGTCAAAATGAATCAAAGATCTAAATATTACAACAGAAATACTACATCTACTCGAAGAGAGAATAGGTAAAATTCTTGAAGGCAGGCATAGGCAAAGACTTCATGAATAAACCTGGATTGCATGAGAAATACTACAAAAAATCAACAACTGGGATCTCATCTTATTAAAAAGCCTTTACACAGCAAAAGAAATCACCAGCAGATTGAAAAGACAGTGTATAGAATGGGAAAAATTTTCTGCCAGTTTTTTAAACAAAGGACTAATATGTAGAATATTCAAAGAACCGAAAAAAACTCAGACTCCCCTCCCAGATGCCCAGTCCAAAAATGGGTATCTGAAATGAATAGACACTTCTCAGATGAAGTAGAAATTGCAAATAAATATATGAAAAAATATTCAGCATCACTGATCATTCAAAAGATGGGAATTAAAACTGCTGACATTCCATTTCATTCTAGAAAAAATGGCTATCAAGAAATCAACTAGTTACAAATGCTAGTGGGGTTGTGGGGAAAAAGACTGGCACAACTATTGTGGAAATCAGGTGGAGATTCCTTAAAAAACTAAGACTAGAGGTCCTATTTGACCCAGTTATTCACCTTCTTGGTATTCCCCCCGCAAAATTAAAAGCCTCACACCACAGTGATATATGCACACCCCTGTTTGTAGCAGCACAGTTTGCAACAGCTAAATCTTAGAAACACCCAAAATGCCGATCAACTGATGAGTAAATAAAAATGTGGGGTTTTAAAATTTTTTTTATTTTTAATACGGTGCAGTACTGCTGAGCCATAGGGAAGGACAAGCTTGAGACATTAGGTAAATGGACGACACTGAGAGACATTCTTAAGTGAAATAAATCAGACACACATGTAAATATCACATTGTTTCTTTATGTGACAAACTAAAAATATATAAGAATGCAATAATAGATATTGTGAAACAGAAAGAAATTTTTCAAATGGAAAGGGAAACTGGAGATGGGAAGGAAGAAAGGGAACAGAAAAAAATGAGAAAAAAGAAGATAAATTGGAAACAAAGCTTTCCAAATAAGGAGTTGAAGGGAGGGGAGGGGAATGGGAAAAAGGAACTAAGGTATATAGTTCCTGTATAGCTGACATACATATCTAAAACCAAGTGCCCACCCAGGTAAAAGGCAGAGCCAGGTGCAGGGAAAAAAGGAACTAAGTATAAGTTCCCTACGATGAGTGTGATCATTATGTATAGCTAAATTGTACCAATAAAGTTAAGAAAAAACCAGCTGGCTTCACTCCATTGCCCAACCTGGCCTCAAACTTTTGATTCTCCTACCTCAGCTTCCCAAGTGTCTGGGGTTATAGGAAGGTATTATGGGCATGAGCCCCTGTGGCTGATTTAGAACCTGTTTCTCTTACCATTCAGTTGCAATGATTGCTAATACTGCGTTATCTTCTTCCCTGGAGTTACTGATCTGAAGATATGCGGTAAAAAATACCAGGATATAGGGGCAGGGATTTAGCTCAGCAGGCATAAGTGCCTGCCTTGCAAGCAGGCAGTTGTGAGTTCGATCCCCGATACCAGTAAAAAGGAAAGAAGACAAAACAAAAAAAAACCCAGGATATTTTAGTGTCAAGGTGCTAGAACATTTTAGTGCTTAAAAAAACGCTAAGATGTATTGTTTCATAAACTGATGAAGTTTTTATAAGTAATTACTCTCATAATTTGTTCATTTTGTGTTTATGTTTGGAAATTTCATTCAATTCAGACATGTTTTCATACTTCTGACTATAATCTGTATTTGGATTATTTGGAGTTATTGTTTTCTCTGATGAGTGGCCCTTATTATTATTCAATATATTTCTAATTTACTGACTGTAGGTTTAGAAGTTGGGACTAATGTATTCCTTCTTATTGCAGAGATCACCTGTGGTCGCCCTCCGGAAGTGCAGAATGCCATCTTGCTGGGGAATCACAGCTCCAGGCTGGGCAGTGTGGCTCACTACGTCTGCCAAGAGGGCTTTGAGAGCCCTGGAGGAAAGATCACTTCTGTTTGCACGGAGAAAGGCACCTGGAGGGAAAGCACTTTAACATGCAGAGGTATAGATTCCACCCTGCCGGGCTCCTGTTACCTGCAAAGTCGTTGAGAAGCACGGGTCTTCAAACCGTTTGCTCGCTGCCTCCCTCTCTGCCCTGTGCCTGGCTCTGCCTTTTCCCTGGGTGGGCTCTTGGTTTTAGATAATGTGTGTCAGCCAAATCCTGAAGGTTTGGAAGGTGGGTTGGGGAAATAAGCAGGAGAGAAAATTTTTGGCATCCATCTTTTGGATAAATTCTTGTTTTGTCTGCTTAACCAGCTGAGAAATTTTTCTCTGAATACTGTTTTCCCAGAGGGGCGTACTCGTGTCTTAGCATGGCAGCTTTTCAGAGAAAAGTTGATGTTCTGTAAAAGAGAAATGTTTTTCATATTTTTAAAAATTAATTGTGGTAAAACACAAAAAAACCACAAAATTACCATCTTAAATGCATTATGTATATTTACATTATTGTGCAGTGAATCTCCAGAACTTTTTTTGCTCTTTCAAAAACTAAAATTCTGTATGCATTAAACAATAATTTTCCACTTTCCCCTTTCTATAGCCCTTAGCACTCTGCCGTTCTTTCTGTCTCTTATGAATTTGACTACTGTAGGTGTCTCATGTAAGTACAGTCCTGTGGTTATTTGAGACTGGTTTATTTTGCTTAGCATAATATCTTCAGGGTACATCCATGTCACAGCAGAAGCCAATTTCTTTCCTTTTTTAAGGCTAGATAATGTTCCATGGTATGTTACATGTCACATTTTCTTTGTCCATTCATCTATCAATGGACTCAGTTGCTTTCACTTTTTGGCCACTGTAACTAATGGTGCTGCAACTGGAGTGAGCAGATATATCTTGGTGATCCTGTTTTCAGTTCTTTCAGATATATACTCAGATCTGGCATTGCTGGTGAGAAGGAGTTTTGAGGCTTCAATTTCTAGTAGTGCTGTGGGTAGCTGATGTCGCTAGGCAAAGCATTGTGAACCTCACTTTCCTGGCTTAGAGTCTGGCTGTCCTTTTCAAAGAGTGTTGAGAGGAAATCTGAGGAGATATCTGTGGCAGCATTTTGCAAAGCGTAAAGCTCCGTGTGCAGATTATCTCTTTCCTGAATGGTTGCACTCATGTGTAGAGCTCCTGAACCTTCACAGGTGTGCATTTCTGCGTGCTTCCTTTCACCCTTTTGCCTCCACGAGGAAAAATAGAGAAAGGTAATGATTTGTACCATTTGTGATAGTTGGTCAGAGAGTGTGAAAAGTGGTTCATACTCGTATAGTCTCCAATGGCTCTGGAAATATGTTTCTGCACATTGACTTGCTTGGTCCAGAAGACAGATTTCTGAAGAACGAAGTCTCAGTGTAGCTTTGCTCTGTCTCTGGATTGATTAGCAGCAGGGTTGTGGTAGATCTTGGGTCTTACCCACCAGTTTTCCATAGGAAAGCTGAACCAAAGCAAGAAAACCACATGGTCCGTGGTGATTATTTGTCAGCAGAGCAATGATTTATAACCATTTTGGGGATAGGAATTTGATGAAATCTGTTCATTCAGTAGACATCTGTTTAGTGTGCAGTGTATGCGACATACTTTATTGAGAGACTTAAGTCATAAAGAGCAAAGGATGAATCTCCAGAGATCTAGTTTGGCCTGTTTTAAAGCAGTCTCTGATTTGTACAGAGAAGCAAGCGCAAACCTGTAACAAGCACCAAGGACTCCAGCGTCCTAGGTTTACCAACTGGAGAAACAGAGCTGATGTCTTACTGTACTGAACTGATGGTCATGCCAATGTATTGTTGCATCGTTCATAGCACTTCCAAGGCTAGGGATTTAGTTTAATGGCATAAGCACCTGCCTAGCAAGTGCGAGGTTGTGAGTTCGATCCCTGGTACAAAAAAAAAAAAAAAATTCATTCAATATAACCCATTAAATCATACAAATTCTATAACATAGCACCTCTAATAGTTGTTTGGAGGAAGTGAGGTTTGCTGCCCCCTGGAAGTGTTCCTGCCAGGAGACTACCATATGGAGTGACATGGTAAGAGAGCTGGGGTTGTCTTCTAGACCCTCAGCTGTTTGCTCCATTGCTCAAGCTACCTTGTCTCCACGATTCAGAATTTACGGGGAGGCGGGCACCGGAATTAGTCACTACATGAAAAACCAGTGGATCTGCATGGAGCATAGTAAGCTATTAATTATCCCATCCTTGTAGAGCACTTTGAAGAACAAACATGTTATGTAACTGCTAATTATAATTACCGTCCTCAGCCTGCCACCTTGCACAAAGCCTGTGGCTCAGCTGCAGCCTTTCCATAGGCTTGTGCAAGCTTGGATTTAAGGAAAGAAAATCCATTCTCCCTGTGGGCTGGGATCTTTCTGTGAGGAGGCCTCCGTGCTCTCAATCAGGACTGGCAGCTAATTCGATTTCCACAGATGCAGGCAGCGATTTCCATGCTGATTAAGTCATGATTCAGTGCAGATAAGCTCTGGTGGGTAGGTCGGGAGGCTTCTGGAAGTGCAGTGAGACATCACCCTGGCTCTTACTCAGCTGCCTCCTCTTCCTCTCCCTGTTAGACACCCCGGTCTTCAGGCCCCCTTCACATTTTATTTACGTTTTTCAGTGTTCACTTTTGACTTTGCCTCCACCATCTCCCTACCACCTTTTTACTGCCTGGTTCTTTTTACTTGACAGGTTAGTCCCAAACTGGATATAATAATTTTTCTTTACTGTATGTGGATTGCGTTTACCTATAGTACTTAAAAAAATTTTGGACCCCTATTACTTTGGATTAGTAACATAGATCTGTAATATGTTTTTAATGGAGTGTGAACTCCAATGAAGTGGTGGGACTTCTTTTTCCCTCTAGGCCAGTTTGGACTGGAAACTCCAGACAGCTGGGAATTAGGCAACTGCTTTAGTGTCTGGAAAAATCCCAGGTGGAAGCTCGATGGTAGTGAGTTGGTTTACCTCAAGATCAAAGAGTCTGATTCATTCTTGATAAGACTGTCTGGCTTGCATTCTGCACAGGTCATTTGGCTTTTCATGTTTAGAGCCTGAGTTAATAATTATAAAGTTGACGCTATTCACTGCATGGTCTTAGGAGGGTAACACCTCTGTTGGAACACAGATTGCTTATCTGCCAAGATCCTTTCTGTGCCTCTACCTTGCCCTGGGCACTTGGGCACTGCTTCAAATGCTTCCAGACTCCCACTGGCCTCTGTGCCTTCTGTTTGGTTGATGACTTCCTCTGCAGCCCAGTGAGTGCTCAGTTACAGCTCCATGTATTACAGATGGAAAAGAAAGGTCAACTGGAATAAATGGGGACATAATACAAGTGGTCACATGGATGGGTTTTGTCTGAATATGTGAATAACGTCTGGGTCGTCTGTATTACTGTTACTGCTGAGTGAGCACTAATTTCAGTGCCCAGGGCTCTCCTTGGGGCCTTAGCTTGATTGAGTTTCATCCTTGGACAGACCCTGAGAAGTAGGAATTGTTCATTTTCATTTCATTTCATTACTCAGATGAGTAATCTGAGACTTATACAGGTTAAGCAACTTTCACAGGGCTGTTCAGTGTATGTGCTGCTAACGTGAGTGCTCACAGGGCTGGTCAATGAGTAGCAAATGGTGGAGTGAACTCAGGTCTGTAAGCCCTGAAAACTTATACTTGCTGTCTGTTCCACTAGGGAATTCCAATGCTTGAGTTATTTGCATGTTATTATTTGCCATAATAAAAAGTAATGTTTACTGAATATGTTTTTATAACAACTTATATTTTAAAGCTTAAAATTTATGATTTGAATTTATTGATCATTATACATATTTATAATATTTATAATGAGTATTCTGAGATAGATTTTTTTCTAGTATATATAACAGTCCATACATGGTGAAGATATACAGATTTATTCACAGGCCACTCCAGATCACCCTAAGGTGTGCAATGCATTTTATGAAAGCACCGTGCTAAGCCATGCCACTTTTCCCTATTTTATGTCACTTTAAGATTTAAAAAAAGGAAATGTTAGAACATTTATAGAAAACATGCATTTATTCAAGGTTTTCCCCTACCAAAGAAGATGTATCCTGATATTGTTGCCCTTGTCAAAATGTGTTTTTTTTTTGCTACCCTTGTTTGGGAGTGGCCTTTGGAAGTGGTACCTACGTGGTATTAGAAGATTGTCATTGTTTTTGAAATCAGATACTGTTTCAGCCAGAGATAACGTTGGGCTTAACCATCTGCTTGGGTCTCCTGAATGTATTCTGAATGACCTTTTACTGGTTCCAAATATAAAGAAAAAAGATATAAAACTGGAACAAAGAGATCCACTAGGTTTGTCCCTGTTCTCCCACAATTTGACTTCTGAAAGAGTAATCCATATTCACTGATTAGTTCTGTCTTCCTGAGGGGAACTCAGGCATCTGGCACCCTCACTTCCCTCACTGAGATCTCTACTGACGATCCGGGAACCAAGCAACTGCTCTGGCTCAGTCCTTATTCCCCTTAACCTTTTTGCAACATTTGGCATCCTAGATCATCCATCCATCCCTTCAAGCATTCAACCAAATAATAAATATTTTGTGAATACTTCAGGCTAAGTCATGTGCTAGTGTGTGAAGACAAGGAGCTAAGCATGGCTTTTGGCGTCATGAAATTCTAGTCAGAAAAGACATTTAAAAACTACTTATATAATTATTTAGTTACAAATGTGGTAAGTACCACACAGAAATATGAGATGCTAGCAGGGTACCAAAGTACATTACATACATGTACATTTGTGTGTGTAACACATACGGAATAAAGCAAAGCAAAGCAAAGGTGCATACTGTATCACCTATGTAGGCTTTGTTTCCCCAAATCCGGGGAGGGTTCACTTCAACAACGTGGAGGTGTCCTTTATTTTATTTTATTTTAAAGCCATAGAGGCCAAAGTGTCTCACAGTGTGGCAGGACAAAGGCCTGCCCTGCCTTCCGGTGTGCAAGCTCAAACCTCAGGTCCAGTCGTGACATGTGGGAACTCCATCGGG